AAAAAAAAAAAAAAAGTATATCCACCTTGCAGAGGAGGAAACCACAGCTCAGAACACTTTCATACCAGTCATAGCACTTGTGAGTAGCAGAGCAGAGGTTTGAATGGAAACCTATCACATCGGTCTCCTACTTGCTCCACCACAATACACCAAGAATTATTTCTTGCTTGGGAAATTCTGTGTCTTTTGTAAAATGTCTGCATTCAATATACAAAATGCTACATGAAGTATATACATGTGTGGACCTCAAATGCAAATGTGCATACTGAGTATGTTTCAGCCTATATTCAAAACAAAATGTGGGGGAAGGTATGGGGGCTGGGGGAAAATGTAATTTGTCTCTACAGCGAGTGAGCATTTTTTTCTTAATTTTTCTTTCTTATTTTTTAAATATGGAATGCTCCAAAGCCTTCTGCTGTGTGAAAAAAAATAAATAAATATGGAATGCTTCACAATCTTGCATGTCATCCTTGTGCAGCGGTCATGGCTAATCTTCTCCGTATCGTTCTAATTTTAGTATACATGCTGCCGAAGCAAGCACTTCAGCTAGAGATCTTGGTGCGCTTTTGGATCTTAGAGTTAGACAGCATACAACCTCCAGGGGCCAAAGATCGCAGGGCTGTTTGCAGAATAATCATAAAAGAGTTCTATAGCATTTGAGAGACTTGACTTGATAACAAAAGCAACTAACATATTTTTCATATTTTTTTTTTCTTGCAGTTTTTGGCCAGGGCTGGGTTTGAACCCACTACCTCAGGTAAATGGGGCTGGCACCCTACTCCTTTGAGCCATAGGCGCTGCCCAACATTTTTCATATTTCTTGGGCATGGTGTCAAAGTACAGGAAAAAGAGACAGGATAGAGAGAGAGAAAAGGACAGGATAGAAAATAAATTTCTTTGATAGCATCTTTCTTTCTTTTTTTTTTTGAGACAGAGCCTCAAGCTGTTGCCCTGGGTAGAGTGCTGTGGCATCACAGCTCACAGCAACCTCTTAGGTTCAAGTGTTTCTCCTGCCTCTGCCTCCCAAGTAGCTGGGATTACAGGCGCCCATCACAATACTCAGCTATTTTTTGTTGCAGCCATCATTGTTGTGTGGCAGGCCTGGGCTGGATTTGAACCCGCCAGCTCAGATATATGTGGCTGGTGCCTTAGCTGCTTGAGCCACAGGCGTTGAGCCAGATAGCATCTTTCTAAATCATCACTGTATTTTATTTAAATGGATGCTATCTTTGAAAATCAAAGGCCACGGGCAGCACCAGTGACTCAAAGGAGTAGGGCAGCGGCCCCATATGCCAGAGGTGGCGGGTTCAAACCCAGCCCTGGCCAAAAGAACTGCAAAAAAGAAAAGAAAAGAAAATCAAAGGTCAGGTCAGGCATGGTGGCTCACGTCTGTCATTATAGCACTCTGGGAGGCCAAGGCGGGTGGATTGCTTGAGCTCAGGAGTTTGAAACCAGCCAGAGCAAGACCAAGATCCCATTTCTAAAAAAAGAGCCAAGTGTTGTGGTGGGTGCTTACAGTCCCAGGTACTTGGGAGGCTGAGGCAAGAAGAGTTAGACTCTTGCTTGAGTCTAAGAGTTTGAGGTTGAGGTGGAGCTATGATGCCACAGGATGACAAAGTGAAAAGAAAAGACACAAGAACACACAATCAAAGGCCAGAGTTCCAGAACTGATTTCCATTTGCCAAACCTACAGCAGCTATTTTTTTAACCACAGCAGCTATTATTTTTTTTTTTATTTTGAGACGGA